GGGGGGGGGGGGGAGAAAATGGTTTTTGCCTTTGTCTCTGTTTTCTGGGAATCTCTGTTGGCAGTCTTTCTTTCTTGCCCTTCAGGCTTCCTTTCTCTAAGCTTTCTCCTGCCTCCTGACCCTAGTTTGTTCTCATTCTTTTTTTAAAAAAATTTATTGATTTTTAGAGTGAGTGAGAGAGAAACATTGATTTGTTGTTCCACTTATTTATGCATTCGTTGGTTGATTTTGTTTTGTTTTGTTTATCCTCACCCAAGGATATTTTTCCCATTGAGTTTTAGAGACAGTGGGGTGAGGGGGGAGATAGAAACATCGATGTGAGAGAGACACATCAATTGGTTGCCTCCCGCGCTGGCCCTGACCTGGGCTGGGGATCAAACCTGCAACCCGGGTATATGCCCTTGATCCAGAATTGAACCCATGACCCATTGGTGCATGGGCTGACGCCTTAACCACTGAGCCAGACCAGCCAGGGCCATTGGTTGATTCTCCTATGTGTCCTGACCAGGGATCAAACCCACAACCTTGGCATATTGGGATGACACTAACTAGCTGAGCTACCCGGCTAGGGCCTGTTTTCATTCTTGCTTCCTTGGTTCTTTGTCTTCAACTCTTTCCTCTCTGTGGGCCCTTCCCTCACTCATTCTTACCACCAGCTCTGACTCCTCCGAGAACCTCACCTGGCAACCCTCCCTGTCCTTCCCCTGTCTCATTGTTCCTTCTCCTGGCAGGTACACTTACGAAATTGCCCCTGTATTTGTACTCATGGAAGAAGAGGTGCTGAAGAAACTCCGGGCGCTGGTGGGCTGGAGCTCTGGGGATGGGGTCTTCTGCCCTGGTATGTGAGAAGGAGGGTGTGTGTCTTTCTTTGGCCTTTTTAAAGGTTCCTCCTTCCCTACCATTCTCTTGCTCTAAGCTGGCAGGGAGGGGGCTCCAGCTGGGCTCTGGCCAAACCAGAAAAAGGCTGCCCAATACCCTGTATCCCTGTTTGCTAAACAGTCCATGAGATCAATGTTCAGCCCAGGATATGTAGAGGGGTAGTCAGGGGATCTGGATCCCCGGGCTGTTATGGGCTATCATGGCATTTGTAGAGACCTGGGAGTCAATCCCTTGTGCTTCTTTGATTAGTTCTTCTGGGTAGAGAGGTCAAGAGAGGCAAGCTCCAGTTTTGACCCACTGCCTCTCCCTCTTACCACCATCCCCTCCCTGTGACAGGTGGCTCCATCTCCAACATGTATGCTGTGAACCTGGCCCGCTATCAGCGCTATCCCGATTGCAAGCAGAGGGGCCTCTGGGCACTGCCGCCCCTGGCCCTCTTCACAACAAAGGAGGTGGGGAAGAGGCACAGGCCTACCCTAGGCTACTGATTCTAATCTCTAGCCAGCTGAATCCAAGATCTGTCAGGTCCTCTGCCTGCCCAGATCCATCTCCTCCAAGGCCAGCCTGCTCCCAAGCAAATGTGCTTCCTTCCAATCAAGGGGACTCCTATTCACCTTGCCTTCAGCCTGGGGGATGGGGAAGGGAAGGGGCAACCAGTGAGGTGGACACAGTCCACAGCCTTTCTACCTAGAGTGTGGTCCAGGGACCAGCAGCATCAGTATCACTGGGGCGTTTGTTAGAAATGCAGAATCTCAGGCCTCACTGTAGACCTATTGAATCTGATTCTGCATTTTAATCAGATACGCTGGCGATTCAAAGGCTCATGAATGCTTGAGAAGCCCAGGTCTACAAGGTCTCATCTATTACAGCTCACACTTGACTTTTACTAGTCTCTCTCCCCTCCCCAACATCCCTGCCCTCTCACCTCTAGCCTAACATGCTCTCTGCCTTCCTCCACAGTGTCACTACTCCATCAGAAAGGGAGCTGCTTTCCTGGGACTTGGCACCGACAGTGTCCGAGTGGTCAAGGCAGATGAGAGGTGATGGTCCTGTTCTTGTGGCCCTGACGGGGCTTGGTGCAGCATACCTTCCTACTGTCAGGAGCCCTGGCCACAGGCCTCTGGTGGACTTCTCTACCCTCTCTCTTCCTGCATAATTGTCACTTCTGTCTCTCAGAGCTAGAGCTCCTGCCCTGTCCCCTGAGATGTCTACCCTTCTTAGGGAAAAATTGACATTGTGGCCTCTATTGCTAACCCCATATTACCCTGCTCTCAGCACTTCCTAGCCTAGAGAACCGATTACTTCTTCTTCTTTTTTTTTTTACTGTTTTATAAAATTTATTTTAAAATCAATTAAAATAAAGAAAAATGCACTTAAACTGTCTTTTATAATTGCAGGATTGAATTTACCTGTGGTATTTTTTGCATGTGTAGATTCAAATTACTGTCTGAAGTCACTTGCCTTCCACCTGAAGAACTTTAATATTTCTTGTAAATCAGGTGCGATTACTTCTTTACTCACTTAATTTTCTTTTCCAGAGGGAAAATGATCCCTGAGGATCTGGAGAGGCAGATCAGTCTGGCCGAGGCTGAGGTGAGTGAGTGAGGGGCACTGGGGTGTGGAGCAGGGTGTGGAGCTGGGGTGTGTTTCTTTCCTGGAGGGTTCTTTGGGCTCTCCCTACTCAAGGCATCCCTCACCCCTCTCCTTGATCTCTGTGCCCGCCTGCTCTTCTGGGAGCCTGAGGGGTGAGGACACCCTGTGGTCCTCTCAGGAACTCTGCCGAGACCCACAGGCAGGATTGGACCCCAACAGGCAGGAGCAGGACTGAGATGCTGAGTGGAATCCCAAGGCAGCACCACCGAGAGGGTGTTGAGGGCCTGAAGTATAGTGTGGAAGGTTTCTGTGAGCTGAGAGGGTCTGTGCAGAGGGAACCCTGGGAAGATGCACAGACCAGTGTGAGGAGTGCAGGCCGTGAGCAGTGGCAAATGTGGAGGCCCAGCCCCCTCCTCCACACTGGGCTGTGTGAACTGCTGTAGCCAGCTTGGGGGCATTTTGGCACTATATGTAAATTTTAAATGTATCTGTCCACTGATTCAGGATCCCACTGCTAGGATTTATTCTATAGAGCATCATCACAGTACTTAGAATTCTGTGCACTGGAGCTAAGCATAAAATTTAAAAAAAAATTTAATGTCCATTAGTAGATAAATTATGATACCATATCTGTGTGTCTCAGTTTCTTCCTTTGTAAAATGGGCATAATGTAGAAGCTATCACATAGGACTGTTGTAAGGATTAAATGAATTAATATATGTAAAGCATTTAGAGCCCATGAAGCACTGAATAAATATTAGCTACCATTATTGTTGTTGTTATTGGAGTACTATTAGACATTTAAAAGAATAAGGTGGGAATATATATACTAACATGAAAATACCTCCACTATATATTTAAGTTTGTATATATGTAAAGTATATATAGCAAATTGCAGTATAGGAAGGACAGTTTGAGCCTATTATTATTTGGAACAATGTGAATTTACTAACATATGGATGTTACCTCTGAGTAGCAATATGAGCAGCAATTAGAACAGTGGAGTAGACCCTGGCCCGGCAGCTCCGTTGGTTAGAGTATCATCCAGATATGCCAAGGTTGTGGGTTTGATCTCTGGTCCGGGCACATAGAAGAATCAACCAATGAATGCATAAATAAGGGGAACAACAAATCGATGTTTCTCTCTCTCTCTCTTTCCCTCCATCCCTCCCTCTCTAAAATAAAAAATAAATAAAACAGTAGAGTATTATTTTTATCGTATAAACTTTTTTTGGTAATAGCTTTATTGAGATATTCCATTTATATGCCATAGAGTTCACCCATTTATAGTGTACAATTCTGTGTTTTTAAAACATATTTACAGAGTTGTGCAGCCATCGCTACAACAAATAATATTTTCATCACCCCCAAAATAAACCCGGTATCTGTCTTCTAGAAATCAATCCTCGATACTCCCATACTTCCTTCCCATTAGGAAACTACTAATCTACTTGGGACTCTATGGATTTGCTTATTCTGGATTTTTCATTGAAATGGAATCATCCTATATGTGGTCTTTTTTGATGAACTTCTTTTACTTAGCATGTTTTCAAGGTTCATTCATGTTGTGGCATGTACCAGTTCTTCATTCTTTCTTATTGCTGAATAATATCCCATTGTATGGATATACCACATTTCATTTATCAGTTTCTTAGTTGATGGACATTTGGGTTATTTCCAGTTTGGGGCCATTATGAATAATTCTGCCCTGAACATTTGTGTACAAGTTTTTATGTGAACATGTTTTTCATTTCTTTTGGCTATATACCTGAGAGTGGAATTGCTGAGTCATATGGTAACTCTGTATTTAACCTTTGAGGAACCACCAGACTGTTTTTAAAGTGACTGCTCCAGTTTATAATCCCACCAGTAGTGTATGAGGGTTCCAGTTTCTCCACATCCTCACTGACACCTGCTACTTCTCTTTTTATTATAGCCATCTCAGTGGGTGTGAAGTGGTATCTTGCTGTGGTTTTGACTTGTATTTCCCTGATGACTAATGATGTTGAGCATCCTGTCATGTGCTTATTCTTTTCTATTCTAGATATAAGGCACTTCTCAGATGTATGATTCGCAAATATCTTCTTCCAGTCTCTAGGTTGTCTTTTCACATTCTTGGTGGTGTCCTTTGAAGCACAAAAGTTTTACGTTTTGATGAGGTCCAGTTTGTTTTTTCTTTGGTTGCTTGTGCTTTTGATACCATATCTAGGAAGTCTTTGCCTAGCCCAAGCTCCTATATTTTCATCTAAGAGTTTTGTAGTTTTAGCTCTTATATTTAGTTCTGTGATCCATTATGAGTTAATTTTTGTGTATGACATGAGAAAGGGGTTCAAACTTTTTAAAAAATCTTTTTAAATTGAATTTATTGGGGTGACGTTGGTTAATAAAATTATATAGGTTTCAGGTGTACAATTCTGTAACACATCATCTGTATATTGTATTGTGTGTTCACCACCCTAAGTCAAGTCTCCTTCCATAACCATTTATCATCCCTGTGCCCTCTTCTACCTCCCCCTACCCCCTTTTCCCTCTGGTAATCACCATACTGTCTGTGTCTTTTAGTAAGGCATTACATTTTTTTGAAAATCCAGACGTAGGTTTGGATTCCATCTCTGGAGCTTTAGCTTGGGGCAGGTTTCTTCTCACTTCTGAATCTCAGTGTCCTCACCTGCAAACTAAAGAAGGCAGTAGTACCTTGTAAGGTTGAAAGGGCCCAGGTCAGGCATGCAGAGAGTTTAGAGCTGGGCTCTAGCACCAGGCTCTGGGTTGCTTTTTGGATAACTGCACAGCCTCTTTTTTTCTCTGCATTGTTGCATTAGGGTGCTGTGCCATTCCTGGTCTGTGCCACGTCTGGCACTACGGTTCTGGGAGCCTTTGACCCCCTGGAAGCAATTGCTGATGTCTGCCAGCGTCGCGGACTGTGGCTGCACGTGGACGTGAGTGGGACTTAGGCCTGAGGGTGGGGTGGGCTGAGCTGAGGCCAAGCCCATGCTGTTCTTTCTGCTCTACAGGCCGCCTGGGGTGGAAGTGTCCTGCTGTCACAGACACATAGACATCTCCTGGATGGGATCCAGAGGTGCCCACTGGCCCTGCTCCCTGAATCCCACTTTTCAAATCCTAGATCCATAGAATAGTCATGGTCTTGGAAGCTTTAAATGGCAGTGGGGGAAGGAGGTTGGTGGGAGGGGTTTGGAGAGATGGTTGATTGGGGCTGGGGTTCAGATGGCAGACATGGCAATTCTCCCTGACTGCTGGGCTGGGGTGAGACTAAAGCTCCTTTACTGAGATCGGGAAAGGGAGAGGAGCTTGGTTGGGCAGCTTGAGGAGGAGCCAGCTGACCTAGCTTTGCTGTGCCTACCCCAGGGCTGACTCCGTGGCCTGGAATCCCCACAAACTCCTCACAGCAGGCCTGCAGTGCTCAGCTCTTCTTCTCCGGGATACCACGGTGGGTCTGCCCCTGCCCCTGGCCCGGTTCCTTCTCTCACCTTAGACCTTGTCCTCTTTTCTGTCTCGCCTTAGAGGGGGTCCTGGCCTTACTGTGTTCTCCTTACCATCTCATCTGAAGCTGAATATCTGTGACCACCCTAACTCCCTGTAGTGGGCTCTCTCACTGCCTCCATGGCCTGTCTTCATGCAAAGAAAAAAGTTTCCAGCTTGAAGTTGTAATTGAAGGGATCCTGGGTTGAGTTTGGGAAGAATTCTGGGTTTTAGGAGAAAACCCAGAGAAAGGAAAGGGTTCTGAGTCAGCTGGCAGCTATCCTGTCAGTGCCACCTGGCCCAGGGAAAGGAATGGGTAGACTGAGCTAAGAAGTCTAATAAAGCGCTGGAGGAAACCTGGGTGGAGAGTGTGGGGTCTGACAGTCTCCCACCCACCCACAGAATCTGCTCAAGCGCTGCCACGGGTCCCAGGCCAGCTACCTCTTCCAGCAGGACAAGTTCTACGATGTGGCCCTGGACACGGGAGACAAGGTGGTGCAGTGTGGCCGCCGTGTGGACTGTCTGAAGTTGTGGCTCATGTGGAAGGCACAGGGCGGGCAAGGGCTGGAGCGGCGTGTCGACCAGGCCTTTGCCCTTGCCCGGTAGGAGTGGGGGCGGCTCTAGTTCTCCCTAGGTCCCTTCCCTGAAACTCTTTGCTGCTCTCAGTGCCTCTCCAGCTCATTCTCTTAGTCTCTTGTTTTCTTTCCCCCTCCTCCTATGATTTCTCACTTTCTGTTCGAAGGTACCTGGTGGAGGAAATGAAGAAGCGGGAAGGTTTTGAGTTGGTCATGGAGGTATGACCTGTGCTCTTTGTTCCTATAGCCCCCCCCCTCCAGCCTGTCCTATATACAAAGCCCTGAGGGAGGCAAAGGAGCAGTGAGAGGGGACAGTCTTCCCCTTCCTTAGCTCACACCTTTCTCATTCTCATTCCTCCCAGCCTGAGTTTGTCAATGTGTGCTTCTGGTTTGTGCCGCCCAGCCTGCGGGGCAAGCAGGAGAGCCCGGATTACAGCGAAAGACTGGCCAAGGTAGGCTTTCCCTTCCCTGCTGCTGTGCTTGACCCAGTTGAGGAAACTGACGCAGCTGGTGCATTTCCGCCCCCTGGTGGCTGTGGGTGGCATAGTATGTCCCTTTGCTGGTCTCTTGCTCCAAAGGTGGGAACATGAACTGGAAAACACCAACTTGTCTTCATTTCTTTGGGGATGGGGATGGGGATGGAGAATAAGGTATGTTTCTGGAAAATAAGAAAAAGACAGAGAGGGGCATTACAGGGTAAGTGACCAGTGTGCATAGACCCCTGTGCTGGGAGTTCTACTGGGAGCTTGGGTCCAGGGCAGAGATGTGAGGCAGACAGATCATGGAAGAGCTTTACTCACTGATCCTGGGGACAGAACAACCCAGTAAGGCCAGTCCAGACATGCCTCCTGGAGGTGAAGAGATATGTCATTGGTCCCTAAGGATAGGTTGGTAGTAGGTGCTACAGATGATCTGAAAGGACAAGATTGTTCTTGCCCTTAAGGAGTTATATTAGGAAAACAAGAGTTACCTCTTTGAAACCAATGTGTTCAAGGAAATCTTGTAAATATGCATGTTAGATTACAGAGTACAGAGCAAAAATATTACAGGAATTCAGAGAGGGGGAGAAGGTGTTAAGGATGACAGAGGGTTGAAGTTAGACTAAAGCAGTGTTGTGAATCAGGGAAAAGTCAGGATTTGACAGAAAATGGCCCATGTGACAACTTGGAGATAATAGAGATAGGGAATAAAGCAGATGGGAGAGAAGGCCAAGCAGGTTGGATGTGGTGGAAAAGGTAAACTGGGCCATGGTAAGGATCAGAGCAATGAGTGCTGACTCCGGAAGGTGGCTGGGTGGAAGGGAAATGCATCTTGAGTAACCCTATGGCCAGGAAGCCACCCCAACCCTCACCTGACCCCAGACTGCAGCTGGACACTGTACCCCTTCCACAGGTGGCCCCAGTACTCAAGGAGCGCATGGTGAAGGAGGGCTCTATGATGATTAGCTACCAACCCCATGGGACCCGGGGCAACTTTTTCCGAATGATCGTGGCCAACCCCGCGCTCACCCAGGCGGATATGGACTTCCTCCTCAATGAGCTGGAACGGCTAGGCCAGGACCTCTGAGTCTCCTTCCTTTTCACTGTTGGCCTTGACACCTCCTTCGCCCTCACTGGCTCTGTGTCTTCCCTCCCTGTGTTCTCAACACCAATCTTTTTAGGAAACAGTAGATATAACAATGTTTATATCCTTCAACCTATTAACTCTCCCATTAAGCATTTAATATTAGGAGAATGTTTAATAAGCTATAGTATATCCTTATGATGGAATGTTAGTTTGCCTTTAGAATTATGTTTACAAAGAGGGTTTATATTGATATGAGAAAAAAATAACTTTAATATAATGTTATGTTGAAAAATCTGGATGTAGTACTTTATATATAGTAATATCTGAACTATATTTAAAAATACATAGAAAAAGATTGATGAAATATGCCAGAATGTTAATAGTTTTTCCTCAGATGGTATTATAGGCAATTTAAGAATTAACTTCTTGCCCTGGCCGGTGTGACTCGGTTGGCTGCTGTTCCATGCACTGAAAGGTTGCTGGTTCGATTCCAGGTAGGGGGTGTGCAAGAGGCAGCCGATCGATGTAACACTCTCACGTCAATGTAACACTCTCACATTAATGTTTCTGTCTTCTCCCTTTCTTCCTCTCTAAAAAATAAAAAATTAAAATTGACTTCTTTATGCCTTTTGTGCTCCCTCTTTTTGTTATATAATGAACATACACATTACTTTTATAATAGAAAAATAATAAAGTTAAAATTTTAACTATATTATTTTGGTATGTTTTGAAGTTTGTTACTTTTCAACCAAATAATGGAGAATGCAAATTAAGTTTTTTTAAAAAGGCCGGTGAAAGATAGAAAAGTTTTATCCCAAAATCTTTAGTAGGATCGAAAAGACCAAAACTGGAGTTACTCTAAAATTAATTGTACTTTAGTGACATTGAAACAAAATGGGCACTGACTGTATCTTAAGACCAGAGCCTTGTTCACTTATTCTTAAAACTCCTCACCAAAAAAGAAAAAAATGAATTTTATCCTGTAATTTAAACACAACCCAAGTTTAAAAAAAAAAACCATCCAGAGCACTGTTACGTTGTCTGTTATTGCTACTGTCTTACATAAAAACATTCATTTTACACTTACAGTTCCTGGCGGTGTTGCTCAGTCACTTTTTGGGAAAGAGGTGTTTAGTTACACAAGTTACTAAGGAAAGTGGCAAGTTTACCAGAACTTTCTGTTATTTCCAATTCCTAAAAATACCATTTATGAAAACAATAATATGGTCATGTAAAAGTCATCCAAAGTTATTTGCAGAGGCAAATACAAACTGTCCAAACCATAGCAAAAGAATATCCAAATTGCAGGCCTAATTCTCTTGACCATTTTGGGGAGAAAAAACCATTTCTATTCATAAATTATTAATAATTCCCCTATAAACTTATTATTCTTGTTACAAATGGTATTTTAATATCTTCCAAATAATAAAATCAGTTTGAGAGTATTAGTAATTTGAACTCCAAGCTCTAATCTTAAATCTATCCATACATCTACAAAATAACTTATAATAAAAAAACCCAAAAAACTAAACTAAAAAAAAATCCTATTTTCAACTCAAAGCAAAGCCAGAAAGCACAACTAAAAACAAAATCTTCATATTCCTTGAATCATCTCCATTTGAGAAATATTTTTAAGAGAAGGAAGGCCAGAAAGGGCATAAAATCAGTTAATCACCAATTTTTCTCCAGCTTTATAAAACTGATGCTTCTTTGTTCCCAAAATTCAGCCCCAAAAATCTCTGGATATAATATTACAGTCCCTCTTTTGCTTCCTGTCTGTCATTGACATTTACTGATCTCCTGCTCTGTGTAATTCTTTTCTCCCTTCAAAGAGCTTAAGACTTAAGCAGTCACCCCTCAACCTAGGCACATCCCTGCTCAAGGGCCATCCCTTCTTGCCTCAGTGCTCATTCATCTACAGGGTCCTTGAATATTCTACTTAAAATTATATTTTCACCCTCTATTCTTGCATTTGCTGATTCCCTTATCTGTCCTGTTTTTATCCATAACATGGATAAGGATCTGACATGCTCTGTATTTCAATTATTTTCTGTCTCACCCAACTAGAATGTAAGCTCTTAGGGCAGAGGTTTTGTATCACTGCCTCATAAAATGGAGTTGGGTACTTACTAGGTGGGTGAAGTTGAGTGAGTGCTTAATGATCTCCAGGTACCATTGACTTGCTGTCAGTCACACAAGTTTATTATTTATTTATTTTTAAAAATACATATCTTTATTGATTTCAGAGGGAAAGGGCGAGGGGGGAGAGAGAGTTGAAACATCAATGATGAGAGAGAGTCATTGATTGGCTGCCTCCTGCACACCCCATACCAGAGATTGAGCCCACAACCTGGGCATGTGCCCTGAGAATTGAACAGCAATATCCTGGATCCTAGGTCTATGGTCAACAGCTGAGCCACACCCGGCCGGGCAGTCACATAACTTTAAAGTGGTGGAGTCAAAGCCAAGCTCAGACAATCTTCCTCTAGGTCTTAACCATGGCCCTAGCCTGCTTCTGTTGACAGGTGTATATAATTCATTGGTGTGGGTGTTAGGGCCATTTTATTAGCCACATGCTGTGAATCTACTGCTTGCAGGGATGAAGCAGCTTTAGCCACCCACCTTGCCCTTGGCCTGGGGAAATTGTTTTTCATCACACAAGAAACATGGACATTGGGAATATCTGGATGGGTTGCAATGTTGGAAAGGTTTTTGGGGGGTTTTTTTTGGTGTGGGTTTTTTTTCTTTTTTTGGTTTAAAGCGGTCCAAAAAAAAAAAAGTGGTCCAAGTGTTCAAAAGGCCAGCCTCCCCACATGTCTGGCAGAGGAAGATGGAGCCTTCACAGGGAGATAGGCCAGGAGGTAGGGAGCTAAAAGTTGGCTGGGGCACCTGTGATGTGGCAGCTCTCTGCGGTTGAGGATAGGAGCCTTTTTCAGAAAGTGGATGAAAGTGACAGTAAAGTCAGAATTTGACCCGATACTTGGAACTGTCCTTGTGTACCCTAGGTCCTCATTTGGCTATTTCTCTTCTGTTTATGTACCTTAAAAAATCTTTTTACTTTGAAACTTATACAAATTTGCAAGAATAGTTACAGAGAGCTTCTATACTCTTTACCTAAATTGTTCAATTTTTCACATTTTGACAAATTTTATCATATGTGCTATAATTTATTTTTTCTGAACCATTTGAGTTGATTGCATACACTATGCCCCTTTATCTTTTAATACTCTAGTGTGTATTTCCTGAGAACCAGAATATTATCTTAACAGCACAACCGTCAGATTCAGGAAGTTTAACGTGGACACTACACTCTTACGTCCATATTCTAAAGTTGTCGGTAATGCCCTTTGTGCCATTTCCCCCCTTCAGTTCCAGATCCCAGTCCAGGATCATGTACTGCATTTTGTTGCCATGTCTTCTTGTCTCCTTTAATCTAAAGTAATTCCTCAGCTTTTCTTTGTCATTAGTGGTATTGACATTTTTAAAGAATACAGGCCAGTTATTTCATAGAATATTCATTAATTTGTTTTTTCCTGATGTGTCCTCATGACTGGATTCAAGTGATGCATTCTGACCTGGAATTTGACATGAATCATGTCCCTTTCAGAGCACATTGTAAGGTCCACAAGGTCCATCTGCTCCTTATTGGTGATGTGATTTTGATGAAGGTCAAAACCGATCAAGGTGTTGTCTGGTTTCTCCACAGTATAGTTACTGTTTTACCCTTTGCAACTAATAAACAATCTGTGAGGAGACATTTTGAGATTATACAAATATCCTGCTCCCCTCCATACTTTCCCTACCTACAGTTAGTATCTACTCACGATGCTTGCCCAAGCCAGCTTTTATCATAATGGTTGCTAACTGGTGATTATCTAACCCTATCATTCCCTCCACTTTAAAAAATACATGTTTTGCCCGGCTGGGCGTGGCTCAGCGGTTGAGCATCGACCTAGGATCCAGGTGATCCGGGTTCGATTCCCGGTCAGGGCACATGCCCGGGTTGTGGGCTCGATCAATGACTCTCTCATCATTGATGTTTCTCTCTCTCTCTCCCTCTCCTTTCCTCTCTCTGAAATCAATAAAGATATATTTTTTAAAAAATTATTTTTTAAAAATACATGTTTTTATTGATTTCAAAAGGAGGAAGGGAGAGAGAAAGAGAGAAAGATCAATGATGAAAGAGTCATTGATTGGCTGTCCCCTGCACGCCCCCTACTGGGGATGGAGCCCTCAACGCGAGCATGTGCCCTGACCGGGAATCGAACAATGACCTCCTGGTTCATAGGTTGACGCTCAACCAGTGAGCCACACCGGCCAGACAACTCCACTTTTATTATTTGGCATTTGGCTATAAAGAAGAGCCCTTCTGCCCAGCTGGGCGTGGCTCAGCGGTTGAGCATTGACCTAGGATCCAGGAGATCGCAGCTTGATTCCCGATCAGGGCACATGCCCAGGTTGCAGGCTCAGTCCCCAGTCAGAGCATGCAGGAGGCAGCCAATCCATGACTCTCTCATCATTGATGTTTCTCTCTCTCCCTTCCTCTCTCTGAAATCAATAAAGATATATATTTTTTATTTTTTTATTATTATTTTTAAAATATATCTCCATTGATTTCAGAGAGAGGAAAGGAGAGGGAGAAAGAGAGGTAGAAACATCAATGCTGAGAGAGTCATTGATCGGCTGCAGCCCGCAACCCGGGCATGTGCCCCGACCCGGAATCGAACCCCGATCTCCTGGATCCTAGGTCGACTCTCAACCCCTGAGCCACGCCCGTCCGGGCAAGATATATATTTTTTAAAAAAGAGCCCTTTTTCTTATTCATTCATTCCTCCATTTATTATCAGTATGTTTTATTCGATAAGTTATAAGCCATTTCTGTCCTTGTTTATTTTAATGCTCAAATTGTCCCAATTTTAACCATAGGAAGCCCCTTTAATCTGACTCCTTTAGACATGATTTTTAAAAAATATTTTTTTAAAGCACTGCCTTTTTCCTGGTGCAATAAAAATGTTCCAGGCGCCCGGCTGGGCGTGGCTCAGCGGTTGAGCGTTGACCTAGGATCCTAGGCGATCGGGGTTCGATTCCTGATCAGGGCACATGCCCGGTTGCGGGCTTGATCAATGACTCTCTCATCATTGATGTTTCTGTCTCTCTCTCTCCCTTTCCTTTCCTCTCTCTGAAATCAATAAAGATATATTTAAAAAAATAAAATAAAATAAAATTCCAGGCTTATGTAGTCCCTTCTCTGCCCTCAGTCTTGGAATCAGCCATGTCTTCAAGGAGTTCTGGTTCCTTATAATGGAGAATGGCATTTAAAAATCACAATATGTAGGCAATGTCCAATATGCTATTGGATATATTCATGTACTTGGAAAATTTAAACTAACATCCTTTTGGATCTCCCAACCCATCTTAACTGTGCTAAGGGAAATGAAGTGCCGGAGCTTCAAAGGGGAAGTGATGTTCCCCTGGGAGCTAGCTCGAGGCAGCAGAGAGAGTGGATGGTACCCTATGGACTATAGGTGGAGAGTGAGGTACAGAGTTGGGTGCTTGGTTGATTTCTCTCTCTCTCTTTAGCAATTTTTTAAAATGTGAAGTGGAATACTTCTACATTTGGATTCTATATGGGGGGGGCAAAGTAGGCTTACAATTATTTGTATGGAAAATAATACAATAGTTAATAATACAAGACACCTAGCTGGTTTGGCTCAGTGGTAAGAGCGTCAGCCCGCAGATTGAAGGGTTGTGGTTCAATTCTGGTCAAGGGCACGTGCCTCGGTTGCAGGCTCGATCCCTGGTTGGGGCACGATCAATGTTTCTCACATGGATGTTCCCCTCTTTCTCTCTCTCCTCCCCCCTTCATCTCTAAGCATGTCCTCAGGTGAGGATTAAAAAACAAATTTATAAGTAAAATTTAAATATAAAAAAAGACTGTGATATTAGCATAATGATAGATAAATAGATCAGTGAAACAGATATGAGAGTTCAGAAGTAGATCCACAATATATGATCAATAAATTATTTTAAATTCTTGCCCAAATATATGTTTTTATTGACTTCTAGAGAGAGAGAGAAACAGAGAGAGAGGGGGAAACATTCATGTGAGAGAGAAACATCAGTTGGCCACCTCGGTCCCTGACCAGGGACAAACCTGCAACTCAGGCATGTGTTCTGATCAGGAATCAAACCTGCAACCTTTTGGTGTACAAGACCACGTTCCAACCAACTGAGCCACCCGGCCAGGGCTCAACTGATTTTTCTCAAAGATGCAAAGGCAATTCAGTGGAGAAAGAATCT